CTATAAGCTACAGCACATCTTAGCAAGAATACATTGTTGTCACTAAGCTAGATTCTGCCTTAGAAACATGTCTTTCTATAAGCTACAGCACATCTTAGCAAGAATACATTGTTGTCACTAAGCTAGATTCTGCCTTAGAAACATTTCTTTCTATAAGCTACAGCACATCTTAGCAAGAATACATTGTTGTCACTAAGCTAGATTCTGCCTTAGAAACATGTCTTTCTATAAGCTACAGCACATCTTAGCAAGAATACATTGTTGTCACTAAGCTAGATTCTGCCTTAGAAACATTTCTTTCTATAAGCTACAGTACATCTTAGCAAGAATACATTGTTGTCATTAAGCTAGATTCTGCCTTAGAAACATGTCTTTCTATAAGCTACAGTACATCTTAGCAAGAATACATTGTTGTCACTAAGCTAGATTCTGCCTTAGAAACATTTCTTTCTATAAGCTACAGCACATCTTAGCAAGAATACATTGTTGTCACTAAGCTAGATTCTGCCTTAGAAACATTTCTTTCTATAAGCTACAGCACATCTTAGCAAGAATACATTGTTGTCACTAAGCTAGATTCTGCCTTAGAAACATGTCTTTCTATAAGCTACAGCACATCTTAGCAAGAATACATTGTTGTCACTAAGCTAGATTCTGCCTTAGAAACATGTCTTTCTATAAGCTACAGCACATCTTAGCAAGAATACATTGTTGTCATTAAGCTAGATTCTGCCTTAGAAACATTTCTTTCTATAAGCTACAGCACATCTTAGCAAGAATACATTGTTGTCACTAAGCTAGATTCTGCCTTAGAAACATTTCTTTCTATAAGCTACAGCACATCTTAGCAAGAATACATTGTTGTCACTAAGCTAGATTCTGCCTTAGAAACATTTCTTTCTATAAGCTACAGCACATCTTAGCAAGAATACATTGTTGTCACTAAGCTAGATTCTGCCTTAGAAACATGTCTTTCTATAAGCTACAGCACATCTTAGCAAGAATACATTGTTGTCACTAAGCTAGATTCTGCCTTAGAAACATGTCTTTCTATAAGCTACAGCACATCTTAGCAAGAATACATTGTTGTCACTAAGCTAGATTCTGCCTTAGAAACATGTCTTTCTATAAGCTACAGCACATCTTAGCAAGAATACATTGTTGTCATTAAGCTAGATTCTGCCTTAGAAACATTTCTTTCTATAAGCTACAGCACATCTTAGCAAGAATACATTGTTGTCACTAAGCTAGATTCTGCCTTAGAAACATTTCTTTCTATAAGCTACAGCACATCTTAGCAAGAATACATTGTTGTCACTAAGCTAGATTCTGCCTTAGAAACATTTCTTTCTATAAGCTACAGTACATCTTAGCAAGAATACATTGTTGTCATTAAGCTAGATTCTGCCTTAGAAACATTTCTTTCTATAAGCTACAGTACATCTTAGCAAGAATACATTGTTGTCACTAAGCTAGATTCTGCCTTAGAAACATTTCTTTCTATAAGCTACAGTACATCTTAGCAAGAATACATTGTTGTCATTAAGCTAGATTCTGCCTTAGAAACATGTCTTTCTATAAGCTACAGGACATCTTAGCAAGAATACATTGTTGTCATTAAGCTAGATTCTGCCTTAGAAACATTTCTTTCTATAAGCTACAGTACATCTTAGCAAGAATACATTGTTGTCATTAAGCTAGATTCTGCCTTAGAAACATGTCTTTCTATAAGCTACAGTACATCTTAGCAAGAATACATTGTTGTCACTAAGCTAGATTCTGCCTTAGAAACATTTCTTTCTATAAGCTACAGCACATCTTAGCAAGAATACATTGTTGTCACTAAGCTAGATTCTGCCTTAGAAACATTTCTTTCTATAAGCTACAGCACATCTTAGCAAGAATACATTGTTGTCACTAAGCTAGATTCTGCCTTAGAAACATTTCTTTCTATAAGCTACAGCACATCTTAGCAAGAATACATTGTTGTCACTAAGCTAGATTCTGCCTTAGAAACATTTCTTTCTATAAGCTACAGCACATCTTAGCAAGAATACATTGTTGTCACTAAGCTAGATTCTGCCTTAGAAACATTTCTTTCTATAAGCTACAGCACATCTTAGCAAGAATACATTGTTGTCACTAAGCTAGATTCTGCCTTAGAAACATTTCTTTCTATAAGCTACAGCACATCTTAGCAAGAAAACATTGTTGTCACTAAGCTAGATTCTGCCTTAGAAACATTTCTTTCTATAAGCTACAGCACATCTTAGCAAGAATACATTGTTGTCACTAAGCTAGATTCTGCCTTAGAAACATTTCTTTCTATAAGCTACAGCACATCTTAGCAAGAATACATTGTTGTCACTAAGCTAGATTCTGTTTTGGTAACAATGCATTTCTGTTGTTTAGCTAGAAATACATTTTTGTCTTTAAGATAGATGTTGTCCTAAAAAAAAAAATCAAATATTTTTCTTTATGCGACACATTTTTTACTATGACTGGTTCAAGACGTCACAAAAAAATCTATGCATTCCGATGCAGGATGACTTTTTAAAAAGCAGCACACATAAATTTAGATCGGTTTTAGGACAGCCTCGGGACAGAACATGTAACATGATGATGTTCAGTCTGTGACAATGATGATAAATTGTTATAGTTTGTTCTTTGCCAGGTAGTTCCAGAAATCAGGCTCTTTCATTTTTAACTGAATACATCCACATTTCAAAACAAACCACAAAGTTCTAATAAATATATATATACTTTGAACAAAGAAGACACAAACAGCAGATTGCACAATTTATTGCCTGGCATATTTAACTGTATCTGTACAAGTCAAGCAGTCATTTTAAGAAATATACCATAGCCGACACTGAATCCACTGTCCTTGACAATGTAAAAAAATAAGGCAAAACAGCAGCATACAATTTTACAATATAAACCCTTTGTTAAAAACATGGTAAAGATAATTTCATAAATAAAGTCGATTTCTCTACGTTACCAAGGAGTCACAAGAGAAGCAACATATTTAACTGTGAGCCACCTACAAGGCATCAGGGAGCCTACAAGGCGTCAGAGAGCCTTCAAGACATCAGGGAGCCTACAAGGCGTCAGAGAGCCTACAAGGCGTCAGAGAGCCTACAAGGCGTCAGAGAGCCTTCAAGGCGTCAGAGAGCACCCAGGAGAGTTGGTGTGAGACTATAGCTTTCAGATGCTATCTCAAATCATGGACAAGTCTACAAACTGCTGAGACTGAGACCATCAGGCGATACATGATAGGAGTAAACAATAGAAATGATTCAAAAATCACTCTGTATACAAGGTGGCCAAATAAATGCTTCAAACCCAGGAATGCTAACCTGGGCAACAAATGCCTACAGAAGTTGCATGCGTCTGCTGAAAGGCGCAAATATTACAACCATCTTGTAAACGGGCACAGTGCATGAAACTGAGGCTGAAAATGCAAATCTACCACACACGGTACAGTATGAGGCAGACTGAAATAATACAAATCTACCTCACGGTACAGTATGATGCAGACTGAAATAATACAAATCTACCTCACGGTACAGAATGGGGCAGACTGAAATAATACAAATCTACCTCACACAGTACAGTATGAGGCAGACTGAAATAATACAAATCTACCTCACACGGTACAGTATGAGGCAGACTGAAACAATGCAAATCTACCTCACACGGTACAGTATGATGCAGACTGAAACAAAACAAGTATGTCCTATAAAGTGACAGGAGACCGACTGAAACAAAACAGATCTATCCCATACGATAACTGGAGACAGACTGGGGACAAAGCAAGTTTATATGACACGAAACCTTAAGGAAGACAACATGTGTCTACCCTACATGGGAACTGGAGGTACAGACAATGAAAAAAGCCTATCTCATATGATAACTGCAGAATGAATTAACAAACTTTTTTTTCAAAGGGTCACAAATTAGGCATTTCCAAACACTTGTCTTTCATGTCATATGTACATTATGAACATCAAGTCAAAAACAAAAGCAGGAGTAGTAAAATGCATGTGCAGGCTCCCACAAACCCATTCACTCATTTACACACACACACATAGGTACCCAATACACACATTAATATACACACACACTCTCTCTAAGACTCAAATAACCTAGACACATACAGACACACAGCTATGCAGACATAAACACACACTCAGCTGCACAAAAAGACACCTACAAACACACACACAGCTGCACAAAAAGACACCTACAAACACACACACAGCTGCACAAAAAGACACCTACAAACACACACACAGCTGCACAAAAAGACACCTACAAACATAAACCCACACATATGCAGGCAAACACACGCACAGACAACATTCACATTGAAACAACCGGCTAATACTTTGGGATAGCTTCAGATGAATAAAAAGACTGAATCAAAGAGTGTCTGTCTCACAAGACAGCTTTAGGTAGACAGGAGTGTCTGTCTTACAAGACAGCTTTAGGTAGACAGGAGTGTCTGTCTCACAAGACACCTTTAGGTAGGCAGGAGTGTCTGTCTCACAAGACAGCTTTAGGTAGACAGGAGTGTCTGTCTCACAAGGCAGCTTTAGGTAGACAAGAGTGTCTGTCTCACAAGACAGCTTCAGGTAGACAGGAGTGTCTGTCTCACAAGACAGCTTCAGGTAGACAATGACTGAAAAAATTTATAAAAAAACGTAAGTCTATAACAAGACAGATTAGAGACAACCTGAAACAACAAGTCTACTTGCACATGTGGGAAACAAATGACAGGTGAAAACAAGCGCAGTGTTACATGACAATTTATAATTTCAGATTAAAGAAAGCTCTAAAATGTTTCATTACTGAAAAGGATAGTTCTGTCATATTGTAGTTCAATGAATCAACTCATTATTGTAGTTTACATCAAATTCTGAGAACAAAATCACTACTTCAGGCGGCTCCCAGAGATTCAAATGTTGTGGTTTGTTGCTAAGGAAGCACAATCTAGGTCAGTCGTGAGGGTAGAGGTATTTCAAGGCAGGTCGCATGATGTACTGACCACCATCGAAGGAATCAAAGTAGCTGTCCACGTCAGGGTGTGATATCTGTGAATTGGCATAAATACATGTGTAATATATGAGCATGAAAATATATAAAATACAGTGAACACACACACATATATATATGTATACACACACACACACATATATATATATACACACACACACACATATATATATATACACACACATATATATATATATACACACACACACATATATATATATATGTATATATATACACACACACACATATATATGTATATGTTGTTCATCGCAGTGATGTAAATGTAATGTGCCTGTTTACAGCACTGCTGAGACATCTGTGCCTATCGGCCGATATCTTCGACTACTTCAGGCATTTGTTAGATCTAAGTTAGCTTCCCTAGTTACGTAGGACATCTGTAACCACATATGTGTGCTGACTTCGTCATCCCTTGAGGAGCCATCCTGGGCAGCCAGGTAACTGGAAAGGCAGGGGCAGAAAATGGTCACTCTCTGGCATACAAGGCGGCTTCCATAATGCAAGGTTGATACATTGTGTTCTGGTCCTGGGGCCACCCAAGGAATCACCACATCCTGCACATTCCTGTTTAACCTTACATCTGAACACTAAGCTTTACCCTCATTGCAAGCTGAGCCCTAAAGGATCCAGAAAGCAGCATATACACCTGCGAATATCTCAGAATATATATGTGATATCCGTACGTGGCTATACATATGCTGCAGTGAATAAATGTGTATGTATATCCATGAGCATATAATGCACAAGACAAGTGAATCACACAGAAAAGACAAGAAACCGTCACAATCTTCAGTCAATCTAAATGTTCAATACTGAATCGAGAATCAACAGCACAGCACTAGGGACACCCTGATAAGTGCTCCATCCCCAACTGCAGCAGTAAGCGAAGAAATACAGTTCTGATGGTACCAGTAAGTGTCTGATTGTATATTCGTCTCACCCTGTGCTTGAGTGTTGAGCGTCAGCCAGATCCTCATGGTAATTCCCCGCAGCACCATTCTCCAACTCAACATAATCCTTTTACTCCAAAAGAAGGCAGACTACAAGGGATTGCAACATTTCCTGTCACTTCCTTTCACTTTACATTGACCATCAGCTATTTATCTATCTCTCAATGTTATCTTCTCATTTGTAAGGTTTTTTTACTACTTCTTCTTCTTCAGCAATCTCTGGCCATGCCACTGTAGGCCATAAACTGGGATGGCAGCTTAAGGTCACTCAGGTTTTCCCAAAGCTTAGCTGGCAGGTCTACTGTGTGTGGCCATATGTTGTTTTGCAGCTCCTCCAGGAGAAAAGACCATTTAGCAGGACATGTTCTGGGGTCTGTTCAGCTTCTGACCATATTTTCCTTGCACAAGATGACACCCAATTTTAAACTTTACAAAATTTCAGAAAAAAATCTGGTTTTACACAAAGAAAAATATGGCAATGACAACTTTTAAAAATTGGGGGAAAAACTGGTAAGCTGTCTCCACAATAGAGGTTGGATTTGATTCAGAATAGCTGTTACAAATTTTATGATGAGACTCAAGCTTTTTCATGGAGCTTAATGCCCTAGGAATGCACTGTTAAATAGAAAACCAGCTGCCGCAGAAATTTAGCCCTGGTAAGGCGGGGATCGAGAAATTATGAAACACACTCACTGACCTCTGAGCTACAGAGCCATGCAATGACTGGTTAGTGGCGCGGTGATTTATGTCACAGGCCTGAGGGGAAGTTAAGTCCAACTTGATGTGTATAAGGAGATACTCCGTACGTCACTCGGGCGCCAGTCCTTTACTATCCTGGTTGTACGGAACCTCACGCAAGACCCCTACAGCACGTCCTCGTCGTGCGCCACGGATAATGTCTCAAATGAGCATTAACAGAGCTGTCAGGGGATCTCGGAGTTCGGCGGCCCCCAGAGGTGATGTGTCCTTGTGGCTCTCATCAGCCCGCCCCCAAACGCTTGGGTGAAAAATGTTACCAAAACTCATTAGGAACATGAGTAGGTCTGCCAAACGTACAGCCAAAATTACAACCCTTGGTTAAAAGACTGCGGAGTAAAGAGAACATTGTTCACTGCACATCCTCTGTTAACCCTCAGTGTCGTCGTCACCGCGCTGAGGTACACCACAACAGCAACCATCCATAGGCTGGCCATCCTTGTACATCCTCGGTTAACCCTCAGTGTCGTCGTCACCGCGCTGAGGTACACCACAACAGCAACCATCCATAGGCTGACCATTCATGTACATCCTTGGTTAACCCTCAGTGTCGTCGTCACCGCGCTGAGGTACACCACAACAGCAACCAACCATCGGATGGCCAAGCCTAATTGTCCGACAAAACTAGATCATACGGATCAAAATCTGACCATCAAAATTTGTATTGAACTGAAAAAGACCGAATGTCCACACCCAAAGACCCCACTCGCCCGAGTGTTGGGACAAAACTGATAACGATATGCCTGATGCAGGATGTAAAATTCTGTCGGGCTAACGGCTTGTCAAAGAAATCTAACGTGCGAGGAAAAAAGAATGTACCTATCTGTGTGGTCACAAAAGTCCAAAACCCACGGGCTGCTCCCCGCTGACTTCCAGAGGGCGCAGCCCCTGTCGAGCGGGAGGCCTGATACGGTTGTGAGGTTAAGCAGGCATGTGCAGGACGTGACGATTCCTTGGGTGAGCCCAGAACCAGAGCGCCATGTGCCGGCTCTGCATGCATGGAAGCCTCCTTGGATGGCGGGGAATGCCCATGATCTGCCCCTGCCTTCCCTTGAGGGCTAACTGTTCCACAGGGGGCTGCCCCAAAGGGGTACTCCGAGGGCAATACCTGCGGGGAAGAGGACAAAGCAGACACCACACAAATCAGGCAACGTCACGACCCACACAAAACAATGGCCACAGTCAACCTAGAAATAGGAGTACAGCTGCCCATGAGGCAGGGAAATGAAAAACGGTTGTACACGCAAAAATCAGGTCCAGGTGAAAGCCAAAAGTCCAAGCGGACGATTAACCGGGACCTTCCACTGGAATTCACAGCCGGTGATCGATAAAAAATAATAAAAAAATAAAAAATGACTGGTTAAACATAAATGTAAGAATGGATGAAATGAGGAGGGAAACGTACAGATCCTGAGACATGAACCCTCACCTCAGTTCCTGTGATGACCTCGAGGTTCTCCTGTGGAACATAGGTCACCTGGGCCAGTGCTCTGTCCTTGACATCAACCAGGACAGAATAGTTGGGCATCTTCCTCCAGTGCTGCATGTCAGACAAGGTCAGCAGATGTCAATAACAACAATAAAACACAGACCATTCTAAGGCATATTATTTCCTCCAGTGCTGCATGTCAGGCAAGGTCCGGAGATTCCAATAACAACAATAATACACAGACTATAAGGCATATCGTCTTCCTCCGGTGTTGAATGTTTAATTGAGAATCAACATAACAGCACTCAGGACACTCCCATTAGCGCTTTGTCCCCATCTTTCAGCATCAAGTGAAGAGTTTCATATCCGATGGTACTAATTACTGTTTATATATACGTCTCCCTCTTGTCTTGAGCGTCGGCCAGATCCCCCCGTAACTCCCTGCAGTGCCATTATCCTCAGACAGTAATGATCTATTTGTGCCTCCACACTGTTCACTGGCTCCTGAAGGGCTCTCACGATATCTAGCTTGTCACATATCGATCTACCACCAAGTGGTGCAGAGCCGGCCAGTCTATCTGCCTGCTTATTTCCCCACATACCAGCATGACTTGGAAAAAACATCCAGAGGATGCCAACTACCCGGGACCTCTAAAATGATGCTTGCCACTCTGCACGGAGTATGCCTGCCTGTCTCCACCTTTCTCAACATGCTCTATGAGTCAGTTAAATCACGGCACGTGTGTACAGCTGATTCTCAAGCCAGCGGAAAGCAGCAGTGGCTGCCTCCATCTTCATTCTCATACTAAATGTTGTGATATGCCAGGTTGTGTTGCACTAAGCAAGAGCTATCTGCTTTTGCTATGAACCCCTGAGCATTTCGCCCATACAGAGCCATCTGTATAGATAATCAAATAACCTGCACAGGAATTTTCATGAACCATTTGCCGAACTTCTGATTCTGCAGCACCAGCTGGCCAGTCCCTGCACTTAAGCTTAAGACCTAGAGTGATTAGAACCCTACACGTCTGAAACTTGCTGGGGCACTTTGACCCACTCCTCTCCTAGCCTAAATTTATCAGGCCTGCACACAGGTCTAAATGTGTCCTCAGCCTGCACCATCCAAGACCTTCCTCTGTTCAGTCTGTGACCCTTAGCTCTACCCAGGGCCTCATGCAGGAGGTGCTTCTTGTCCGCAGCAACTCTGAGATATGACTTTGCTTGCAGAACATTTAGCCTATTTGCATTAGTAGTATTTTTTCCAGCAGTAGGTACCAGGGCATTCTCATCAGATCACCAAATCTGATTTGTTGCTTTCTGATGAATTATATGACTGGTTTCAGCCTTAGTCCTCTTTCAATTTCTTAATTTGCCCTTTGACCTGTCCTTGATACTTCTGCAGTTCTCCTAAGACATCTCATGTCTGAGAAACCCAGTAGGACTAAAGAGTTAATGAAAGTAAGTGGACTGAAGAAGACAAAACTTTCTTTAGAAAGGAAACAGAATTGTGTCAATACTAACCCATTTATCCGGGGGATGCATCTGATTTAGCCACTCCTCAGGCGCCTGGGAAAACAATATCTGACATGTATTTAGGAATCTCAAACACATACACAAATAACATTCATATTTAGGAGACTGGTATGTCAGGGTCAGGGCTGACACTGAGGGACAAGATACAAACAACATTTAAGAAAAGACATTTTTTAAAAATGAAGTGCAGCAACAGTTTGGTTTTGGTCAACAAATGAGTAGTTATGAACGTTTCAGTCAACATAATGAGCTGAGCAATTACGAGGTGATCTATTTGTACGAAGCTGGCACCTTGTTCGACTACTTGCACATTAAAAATATGGTGCCACCAACAACACACTGATAACCTTTGACTTCCCAGGATATTTTCGAGTGCACATATTACAGTAAACGTACTACCTGGGAGTAAAAGATTTGATAACAGATGTTTAATGCAGATCTGAACCTAAGTATTGTACATGAAGCCAAGAACATTTTAGTGGAAGTTAGGCAAATGTAACCTGGGTGTTTCTGTTTTACAGACATACACACATAAATAAAAGTAATTATTTCAACACCAATCATTTCCACACAAAATAGTCCCTCTTCATTCTTAGCATTCATTCGCTGTAAAGCAACAGAAAGTTGTGGCTGTTCATCCACATCTGGACTCTGGTCTTGTTCTGGACCGTGCATGCACATTTGTTTTACAGATCTGGCTTATCTGTATGCGGCCTGCTACTTCCTTGCCTCTCAGGCAGACGTAGTCTTGACTTCAAAGAAAACACCCCTAATTAGTTACTTCCTATGACATGCTAGTTGGGGAGGGGGGGGGGGGGGGGAATTGGGGTTTGGTAGAGGGTCTGTTCCCCATACTCCTCAAATGAGGCTCTGGAATCCACATAGGGGACAATATGAAACTCTCTTGTTAAAGTGGTTTGTTCAACTCAGTTGCCCAACAACTCACATGTGCCACAGGATCCCAGCCAATGATCACTCCTTTATATCCCCAGATTTTGTGTCGTACAACCTGGCCTACACGGAACTTGACATCTGGTGGCCTCGGAGACCGTACATCAGTAGAAGCTAGTCGGAAAAATTCATAACAAAGAGATGAAATAGTGGAAGCTGAGACAGTCCAGTCAAAGGCAGTCAGCAGCAGTATAAAAATCTGAAACCTTTTATATTTGACTTCTTTAATCTAGGACAATCAGTGACTCAATAAATATCTCTTTTTTTCTTCTGATATCTCCTTGATACCAAGTTGAAGCTCAGCTCGGTTTGACAATATATACAGCAGCATACAAGTCTTCAATAAACTCTTGTCCTACATTATGTTCTTTATTCTCTACATTATTATCACTATGATCATCAAGTACCTTACCGACTGTCAGGGACGATCATGTCTCTCCACAATCTGCAACTGTGTGTATCAGTTCGTGTGCTGACACCCCTCCACACAATGACAAAAAGACTATCAAGAATCTTCTCATGCCTCTGCCTCTCTCTCCATAGATCTTTCCAGTGTTCAAAACATGTTCCATTTTCCCAGGATTATTGGTGTTATTTAATAATCTGGTAACCAATTTTCCCCAAAATAGTTAAGCTACAAACATTCATAACTGTTCCTGTACAGTAAATGGTGATAAAATCACTCATGTGTAACTGCCATCTCCAGGCTCCCAAGGAAGAATAATAAACCAGCACCGAACTAGAGTTATCAGCTGCTACAAGATAAGGCATCCGAGCACAAATGGACTGAATGGAGTAATGTAGTCAGAATGATTTGTTGATAACTAAGAGACATAGAAAGAGATCATGGTTTGACGTACAGTGAGGATTATCTTCTGACTAACTTGTACATGACATTGTCAACAATAAAGTATTCCTTCAAAAATAAAAACTCACTTGCAAAGTAACCCTGTGGACTCTTGTGGCGTAAAACTTCTAACGCTGGTGATTCTCCCAGTTCTTGATCTTCATCTTGTATGGAGACTGTCCTGCCTGCTGGGAGTTTGGGGAGGGGAGAAGTCAAGTCACAGTCGAGTTAAATCTCAAAGTTGTTCCCAGTGTAACTTGCAGAGCCCCATTTTAGGGGCAACAAGAATAGACCAACTGTGCCTGCAACAAGCATGCCATACAAGTTGTGTTACCTTTCAAATCAGAGTGTATCTGCTCGAGAGGTGAGGAACCAACAGCCTGCATACTAATAAGCCAGATCTGTAAAACGAAAGTCAGTCTCTCTCTCTCTCTCTCCCCCTTTGTCTCAGTCTGTGTGCATATCTCTGTAAATGTGTTTTAATGTATGTGTGTCTGAATGTATGTCTGTATGTTTCTGCCACTTTACATATCTTTTTGTTTTCACACTTTCTCTTCCTCTCTACCTCCTTCCACTCCCCCATTTTCACCTTTCCTTCTCTCCCTTGATCCTATCTTTGTGTGAAAACTGCCCTGCGTGATGACAGGATGGGAGATAGAAGTCAAGTCACAGCAGAGTTTAATCTCAAAACTGGAGATAGAAGTCAAGTCACAGCAGAGTTTAATCTTAAAACTGGAGATAGAAGTCAAGTCACAGCAGAGTTCAATTTCAAAACTGGAGAGAGAAGTCAAGTCACAGCAGAGTTCAATCTCAAAACTAGGGGTCAAATACAAGAGTTAAAGTCACTCTCAGGGCAGAATAACCAATCCTTGTAAAATATAAAGGTATATTTTAATGTTTCTATATGCATGATGAAATTGATGATGATGATATGCACACTTATTCTGGGAGCTGAATGTGAGGGTCTGCATGCCCACTCTGTGATCTTTCAAAATTAGGTTTATTTGTTCGTTAATTCTTTTTTTTAAAATAATTTCTCTCTCCTTATCTCTTTCCCCTCTCTTAATCTTTTCCATTCACAAGCTGCTAAAATAGTATTACAATTTCTCCGATGTGGAACAACAATTTTCAGAAACTTGATTTCAAAACTTCATTTGTGAAGATTGTACTGTAAAGGGAGTCAACTTTACTTACTTCTCCATCCATCCATGTTATGCCATACATCTAGACACCAGCGTTGCCATGACGATGCTGATAAATATTTATAGTAGAAGCTGTATAAAGCATTCAACAATCTGAAATATTTTAACAATACCATTTTATAATTTGAGGCATCAATACAACATAATTTTCTAACTGCACACAGTAAAGGCCTAAGTTTTCGATCATTTGAAGCAGCAACAACAGTATCCTAAATCAATAGATTCATGAAACAAATCATTAGGAAAAGTAAATACTCATAAGTGAACCAACAACAGTATCATTTAACCTCCACAGATCCTAAAACAACAATAAAATTATTCTGAAACATCAACAGCAGTACCCTAAAACATCCACAACAGTACACTGAAATATCAATACCCTGCAACATCAATAGCAGTATCATGAAACATCTACACTGAACCATCAACAACAGATTCTATGGACATTAACAGTAGTATTCTAAAACATCCACAGTAACTTGAAAAGTCAGTAACAGTAATGTGAAACATCAATAACAGTAATGTGAAACATCAATAACAATAATGTGAAACATCAATAACAGTATCCCTAACCTTTTGAAAGAAGCCTCTCTCTGGCCTGCAGGAACTGACATGCGATTGGACAAGTAATACTGGATGGGAATGGCAAGGACGATGACCAAGTAGAGCATTCCAGACCGGAGTCCAAAGTCCAGTAACCCCGGCATGGCTGAAACATTGCAGGTACGCTGAATACAAGACTGATTTAGGAAAAGTAAAGTTATCATTTTACAAATTCTACACATGCATTCACCAATATCTTCTTCTTGTGTTGTATCAACTTCAGGTGGTAGAAAAGTGGGCTATCTTCCGAATAAAGGTCCCAAATTATCGAGGCACAAAATATACCCTAACAGAGCCTCAGTCATGTGTCAACTGTGCACTTCCGGCAACTTAAATGCGCACTTCCGGTGACTTGCGCACAGCCGAAAGTGGGGTGGATTGAGGCTAAACTAGATGGCTAGGACTCACGAGCAACAGCTATAGCATTTTCTGCAGCTGCCTTCATTTAATTTGTTCCTGAGTCCCAGTCATGTAGTTTAGCCCAAATCCACGCGGCTCACGTGGGGGATACACTCGGCGGTGGCGGTATAGTCCCCGGAAGTACGCAATTCAGCGGTGGCGGTCTAGTCCCCGGAAGTGCGCAACTGACACGTGACTGAGGCTCTGTTAGGATATATTTTGTGCCTCGATAATTTGGGACCGTTATTCGGAAGATAGCCGAAAAGTGCTTTCCTTATTTATCTTGAGCTTCTTGATGGATTTGTTCAACTTTTTTTTGCAGTTTTCAGCCGCACCATTTATGAAATTTATCAATCTCTTTTTTATATTTATCTTTTTCTCCTCCCATCTTCCCCTTAGTTCTGCTGTAAAAACAAATATCTCACACATGTTTAACAAAACTGAGACAGTCTTGTTCAAAATTTCTCTCTAATGCTGGTATTCATGACCCTGTCTCTTGTGTTGTTGGTGACCTTACGGAAACAGTGCTTTTCACAGTTAGCGGTTAGTTATTTTCTGTTTTAGTGCCCTATTTATTGTCCATGTTCTGCACTGACAAACTCAAAGCATGTTGACTCAACTCAAGCAGGGATGAAGACAGCATCCCCTGTCCTAACATGAATTCAATGAAGAGGTGGTGTTCTCCCTTCCCCGTTGCAATGTACAAAGCTTCCTGAACAATGGACGACAACCCAGTTTATGGCTTTATGGCCCACAGTCGAATAACTTATAAGTGCAAGACCAGAGATCGCTGAAGAAGAACTGTCATAGGATGCTTAATGAGGTACCGTCGGATTTCATTTTCAAAGTGGAATACAACTATAATAATTGTTTTGTTTTAAAAATTATGTGGAAATTTGACTAAAATAATAAAAATACCTCTACTACTGCTACTACTACTCTACAAGTTACAACGTCAACTAGACGACGACAAAATCACAAATGAAGTTTCAGTTTCCAAGAATCCAGCAGACAACAGAAATTACAGATAGATAATATTAATAATGCAGGAAAATAACCGGCTTTAAGAACTAACTGAAACGTACTTGTTTACTGCCCACAGCTGTTGCCCAACAGTGGGTGCTGAAAGGTGAAATCCTCGTGGTGATTATCCCGTGGCTGTTTCTTGTTTATAAACATTGATCGAACGAACAGCTCTCAGCCACGACCACTTCCTTCCACTTGTAAACACGGTCCGCCTCGCGGCTGTCGCAAACACTCAAACTCCACCCATGGAGTCAATAATATCCCGGTTATCTCTAGTCTCTTTATTAGTGAGACGGAGTACGTAAATATCTCCCTGAAGTGTAACATTTATTGTTTTTAATAAATAAATAAAATTTACGACATTTACTACATTGTACACATGAGTACTGATGACCTTTTACCTTTGACCCCTGGATGTCAATAATCAGAGCTGAACCGGCCTGGTCCAAGTCCAACAGCCAGAGCTTTATCTCCCCAGCATCACACACACTTTCTACCCCCACATCGAGATAGCGAGCAGGTGGGTGCAGGTGTGTGTGTATGTTGATATCTACATTGACTGTATTGCATTTAAATAACTCGTCCCACGTATCATCAGTCTTAGTTTTACTTTCACAGCCTGCACTGACTGTTTACTGTTTAGTTCAAAGTTACAGAGTACACTAACACTTGGGTACAGGACAGTGTAGGGACTTTAGTAGTTTGGTCCAATGTTTTAATTAATATTATTTAAATAATAGCATTATTAATGCACCTAGCAGATTCCACCTGTTCAAAGCTCAGAAATGAATTTTTAAGCTAAATTATAAAAAAATGAATACTAGTACAGGAACCAGCAAGGAGATCACAATTAGAATTTTGGGCTATCTTCCGAATAATGGTCCCAAATTATCGAGGCAGAAAATATACCCTAACAGAGCCTCAGTCACGTGTCAATTGCGAACTTCTGACGACTTAAATTGCGCACTACCAGCGCTAACGCGGCGTGGATTGGGGCTAAACTAGATGGCTGGGACTCATGAGCAGCAGCTACCGCATCTCCTGCAGCTTCCTTCATTTTATTTTCTCGTAAGTCCCAGCCATCTAGTTTAGCCCCAATCCACGCGGCGTGGGGGATACTCTCGGCGGTATAGTCCCCGGAAGATTGTAATTTGGGGGTTGGCGTTATAGTCCCCGGAAGTTCACAATTGACACGTGACTGAGGCTCTGTTAGGGCATATTTTTCACCTCGATAATTTGAGACCATTATTCGGAAGATAGCCGAATTTTGAGAGCATGCATCTTCCCTGTGGCTACATACGGATGTGAGTCGTGGACTATCTCCCAGTCCTTTAGAAAGAGAATAGGGGCTTTTGAGCTGAAATGCTATAGAAAGATTCTCAGAATATTTTGGACAACGAAGAGGAGAAATATTGACATCTTGAAGGATCTGAACATCAAGGAAGATTGGCTAATAAACAGCATCCTGTCTCGGAAGCTGAAATATTTTGGTCATATCAAGCGCCACGACGGATTAAAATAAATTATAGCAGAAGGCACGGTACCAGGAAGGAGGGGCCGGCCGACACAAAGATGGGCGCAGGATATAAGTGACTCCTTGAGTGTGAAAGTCCATGAGGCGGGACAACTGGTGAGACCGAGTTTCTTTCAGGCAGACCGTGGTGAGAGCGACGTTCTGCAAAGGACTTACTACATGATGATGAGTACAGGAACATAGAGGAAAATTCTCTTTCAGGACTTTCAGAAAGTGTTTTAATTGAAACTTATCTTCTTCTGAAAGTATACCTTAGTAACCATATCTAACTATGTTTGTGACAGCAAAATTAAGATCTTACAAAACACACAAATCTTTTATGAAATATATTAATACAGTACAGGATGTCCAGAAAATATTGTACTCTTATCTTTCTTTTCATGTGTAAGTTAGGCTGATTGCTTTTAGATACTCCAAGTTTTTATTGAAATACCCACCATTCTCGTGAGTACAAGATTTGAAGATGGCGCCCACCAAATAACAAAAGACATTTTATGCTGTGGAATACGCAATACAAAATAAACGCAACTTTCAGTGACAGTGTCATGAAGGGTGCCCATATTGAATCTTTATAATGTATGAAATAAACTTTTATATATTACCCTTCTTTTGGTATATAAAACAATCTATTATCATATTGGGGGACCATGAATTTAGAATTTTGTTTTAAAGGGTACATTCTTTTTTTCGATACCCAGAAATGTACAGCATATGTATTTAGGTTGACCAAAATATCGTGAACTGAAAACTGGACAACTAGTCAATATTTTTAGCTTAAAACGGGACATCCCAGTCAAATCTATATGAATACATCCACTTATTCCCCCAGGTCATGGAAAGGGGGGGAGGGAGGGTTAACTATTTGTTCGACAATGTTATTAAATGAAATGCTAAACTGTTGTCACTAATTAATAAACAAAACAATATGCTCTGTAACTGCACTTTAAAAAAAATGTTACAATGAACATTTCCATTTACACATTTCAGGCATTAAAATTATCCACTACTATGAAATCTAGGTCTACCAAAAGGGATGGCTGGTAAACATCTCAACAACGGAACTGTCTCGATGAAAATTCGACGTGTGGTCATCCTATATATAAATATTCAACTGCCATGACATCAGTACTGTACACTTAGAACCACCGTTTGCTGCCTTTTGTATTTAATTGGCTATTGCAGCTGTTTGAATGCCTGACCATCAGCTCCCAAAAATAATTTTCTATGGTGAGATACATGAAGGTCGACTTTCTCATGGTAGTCAGAAAAAAACACTTCAAGGACACACTAAAGCATCATTGAAAGCCTTCAGTGTAAACCCTGACACCTGGGAGGCTGCAACACAAGACCGGACTTTATGGCACACATATAACCAAAATGGTGCAACGATCTGTGTGGCATCTAGAATAAGGGCAGCGGAACAGCTGAAACCTTCCAAAAAGACGCCCCTCTCCAACAGGCTTTTTATCTATAGACACTGTACCCTGCCCTCATTGTTCTAGACTCTTCCGGGCATGCATTGGACTTATAAGTCATCTTCTGACTCATAAACATTCAACTCATGACGAATGAAAGAAAGAGTGGTCGTCATCACTTGTGATGAATGAACAACAAACAACACCTATAGTCATACATATTCCTACACATAATCACACATGCACACACACTCATACATACACGTACATACTTATACACTTATTCAAAGGTGGTGGATTGGTTTCCCTACATGATATCAAAGTGACTGCATGCGATAGAACAGAATGGAGTAAAATACTACAAGTACTATGTGACATATAATGACACAACAGGACAATGATGATGATGATGATGATTTAAGACCGCGCTGACTTGGTAGCCCTAAGTCAATAATGAAAATCCACCCTGATGTGGATTTAAACTTAAGACCCTTCACCTGGCAGGCAATCATATTGCCAGGGTGCCACCACAGCTCCCACTAAATAGTATCATAAACAGAAAAAGTTACAGTAACAGCAAAAAAGAAATATTGGGTCGCAGTAACAGCTGAGTCAGTGATATTCAGCTACTTCAAACAGAATGTAACTAGTTATACTTGGAAAACAGGCCAGCGTTCACGCCAAGGCCATCTTATCAAAAAAGCAGGTCTCATGCAGGTTGTATTATCTGGTATATGGAGCATGTTATCATTTATGGTATCGTGTTGAAGATCAGATGTTCCTAGACACCTTTGAGCTACGATCACCTTTAACAATTTATATTCTTCAAAACTTTCTAAGCATAGAAATATCTGCAATGATAATTACTTTTCAAGAGGGAATTTTTTATGTGACTTTTATGTGATGGCCTTAATGGGCCCAAACGAAACTGAAAAAAAAAATTGGTTGAGGGAGGAGGATGGGGAAAAAAGATTAAAGTTTAATCTGGTAGCAGCTGCCACCCTAAGTGTGGTGGAAGTCTTCGCTGGTTAATGTGGAGGAGAAACGGAGCCCATATGGAAATGACTTGAGTGCAATGATATCAATTTTTTTAATAATTCATTAATTCAAACATAAAATTTGAAATAATACGCAATGCATTGCTTGACACACATGACAGTATTTGATCACACAGGATGTGTTGCTTAGGATGTATCGGATAAGGAACAATAATCACACAGTGCTCTATTAGAAATCTCTTTAAGCAAATAAATGAATAGATAGATAAACAGTTTGTCACTCTTGGTTAAGGGTGATTCACACTTGGTAAGGATCATTTACCGTCAGTAAGGATAATTCACCATCAGTTATCAACTGTTGATTCTCAGAGTTTATTTAAGCTTACTTACTATTTATCCTCAGTTAGGTGATTAGTCACCCATGCCTAATGATTCTTTGTCTTATTGCAGTCAGTACAGGGATTTGTCTAGAGATTTCTCTGATCTCCCCACTCTTTATGAATGCATCCCATTTTATATTCATGATTTTTCTCAGATTTCTTTTTTCAAACGCATTAATTTTTTGTTCCATATCTTTGGTGGTTGTTGGACTTTCACTGGCAAGTGTTAGAACTGAAATAACAAGAAAAATTTAACTTCAGGCCAAATGTTAACAGAAGGTATCAAACCACGTCATAAACAGAACTAGTCAGCTTGATATTGTCATAATCACAAACAATAAGTGAATGTTCCAGCTAGAAAGACTTCATCAGAATATGGCACAGATGGACAATGATACAATTACAAACAAGAATACACACAATCACATATATATGTTAGTTGAGATATTTCCTAGAGATAACAAAGAAAACATTTTCTTATTTCAGGGGATGGTGATGCAGAGATCGTCTTGATATGGGAGAAATAAAAAACTTCTTCTCAGGCTCTGGTTATAGATTTCTTGTCCAAGTTTATAACTGAACTTATGATTGACCAAATAATTGTTATAATAATTCTTTGATTGACAGTACACACATTGTACTAATTGTAATGTATATTAATTTATAGAACAAACCAGTTAAAAAACACAAAATTTAGATTTTGAAGATGTCCACCCTGGCAACAGTTGTTAGAGTTCTGGAAACCTACAGGGGACGGGATAGAGCAATCCGTCTGACATCTTATATTGGTATGTTCTTGGCTGGAAATGGGAAAACTTCTGCTCAACTGAAATGGAAGCTGTTGTCTGAAGAACTGAGTGCTTGTCGATCAATTCTCCGACTGTTTGATGATTTACCAATGCTGCTGTCAAACTTGACTACCAACTTTGGACTGAAGGTACATTTCTCTTGTTTTGTTACACTTATTCAACAAATTTATTTTATACTTTACTTTTTTCTGTGTTACCTATCCTAATGTGTAATATTTTAGCAGATTTTAATTCTTGGGGCACCATCTTTTGAGTTGAGGTAAAAATAATGTCAAACCACATTGAAAAAAAAGGCACTTAATAGGTTAAAGCTACTTGCATGGATGTGAGCTGACGACTCTGGCATTAGATGGGACACACATTGAGAAAAGATTGACTACAGTATAAATAGAATGTCTTTGCGCTGGAACCAACAGGGTCAAACAAATAAACGTGGACCAAACAACACATTGAGAAGGAAATTAGGAAGTGATGTTTAAAAAAAATATAATTAAAAAAATGGAGATTGCGAGAAAAGGATATTTAAAAAATAAAATGACGTGGCATGAGTTGGTTGATAGCCTTTGTTCCTCTCCGGGAGAAATTGCGGAAGTAAAAGTAGAATAATTAATTAGAGGCACAGATTGTTTTCAGAATTTCTAATGTTTTATTTTTCTTATTTCAGGAAAAAGGAATTCTTCAGCCACTGGAGTTTGTAGTATGTCTGTTGAATCAGTCCTACTATGTGATAGACCATATAGCATATTTGCGAAAGAAAAAGATATTGAAAGGTGACAGTGCTGTGTTTGCATTGCTGGGACTGGCCAACTGGGCATTGTCACTGCTGGGTGAGATTATCAAGTAGGTTCTACATTCCGCATTTTTCTTCTTTTTATATTCCATACTGTGTGTCATTGGTAGTCATGTCCATCCATTTGCTTATATCTCGTGTACTTTCAGTCACTTTCTAACACAAAAGTCCCTCTATACCACACTGTCCTGCATCTTCTCTCCCCCTGCCTCTTTTTACCTCCAACATTGTCATTGTCACAACACCTCCATTTTCTCCTTCTCACCATGTAACCATATAATGTATGTAGGTTGTCTCCTTTTTTTTTTCAAACCTAAAGATCACATTTTGAAATACTTCTGTGAATAGACCAGCTCCAGAGGTTCCTCCAGATATCCAGCCTCTAGAAATTTAACTGGATTTTATGAGATACCATCTAAAGTGGAAATTAGGAAAGCTATCAATCTTCTGAAGAAAGGAAAGGCTGCAGGTCCAGCAGAAGCCATTAAGGCCAATATAAACACACCAATGGAATTGCTACATAGATTATTTATTAAAGTGTGGGAAACTGAAGAAATACCAGCAGACTTGAGAGAAGGATATCTTGTGAAACTGCCCAAAAAGGGTGATCCGCAGGAATGTGACAACTTTAGAGGAATTATGTTGCTGTGAGTTCCTGGAAAAAAAATGTTAAGTAGGATTACTTTGGAAAGACTGAAAGATGCTATTGAATTAAAGCTAATAGATAAACAGGCAGGTGTTCAGCCAAACAGATCCTGTACTGACCAGATAGCCACATTACTCATAATAATAGAGCAGAGCATTGAATTGAACTCACTACTTTACATTGGATTCTTAGACTATGAAAAAGTTTTTGACAGCATTGATAGGGAATCTCTCTGGAAATTGATGGGGCACTATGGAATCCCACAGTAAAAACAAAATATATAAAAACTTGAAATGTCTTCATCAGAGAAAGCTAACAGATACATTTGAGATAAGATCAGGCAACAGGGATGTCTTTCGTTGCCTCTTCCAATTTTACTGGCAATAGACTGGATTGTGAATACACCAACAGCTAATGCCAGAAATTCCATGGACTCCTGCAAAACAGTTTTATGATCTAGACTTTGCTGATATATTTATATATATTTATATTTCTCTTCTGTCCCGCTCACAGAATCAGATGCAAGATAAATTAAATATGCTTGATGCGAGATCACAACAGCTTGGTCTAAAAATCCATAAGAGAATAACCAAGATAATGTGAATAAATCAGGCACATAGAAATGTAGTTTCTCTTTACCTACCAGACCTGAGCCCTGAACCTGACTGCCTCCTATACCTGAGCTCCTGGGCATTAACGCCAAAAAACCAACATGATATTCAACAATATAAGTAACACCAACATGATATTCAACAATATAAGTAACATGTAAACAAGTAGCTAGAATAAGATGAAACTTTGAGACATTGTAGAAAATAGGTTAACCTTTTATCTGGCGCCAATATTCCACCTTTGTGTGCTGATCCACCCAGTAGGGTCAACCTTGTTTCACAAAGTGAACACCACATGTTGCTGTTTGAGGGACACGCCCCTTTCTCCTACTTTCGATCTATTTCTAGATTTATAATTTTCAAGATTTTCCTCATCATTCCAGCTCTCACTGACTGTGTCACTTCAACTGGGAACGTATTCTTCATGAAATTATGACTCCGCAGAGTCTGAATCAACCAAAGTATCGATCACCTGTTGGACTGTAAAAAACCTTGACCTACTTCACTTTCCCGTCGAAGTGCTTGGTTCATCAGCCGTTCGTTTTATTGTGAACTTTAAGAATTTGTGTTACGTAAATCGGCACAAATTTAATCCAAACACTTGCGGGGGGACATCTGAAAAGACTTTCCACAAGATCTGATTTACGATTGGCTAGTTATTTTTAGTTCGTGACGCATTGTTTTCTTATAGTATGCAAATTCCCGACATTGAGGGACAGCAGTTTAGCGGCAGATTAGGAAATTCCTGTAATAGCGGGCCAGCGGTCTGGTCGAGTTAATGGTATCCCACTCTGAGATGTAGAGTCATACACCTGTTTCGATAGTAATGTTGATAAAGATGTGTCCATTTATGTACATTTTGAAATACAAGTACAAAATGCAAGAGGAGCTTTCATTATATTTCTTCCTTTGTTATCTCACTGATACGAGGTTGTAGCCCAGTGCCATGGTTGTCCGTATTTGTCTTGCGCTTCTCAGGTGGCTTGGGGGATGGATTTATTCATCTTTTTGCAGGTTATAGCTACACCATTTATCCTTAGCTTTCTTGGTCTTCCTCTCCTATCACCTTCCTTCCAGATGTTCTGCTGTAAAATAGTCTCATATGCAGTTTGGTCTGGCTGCATTCTCACTAGATGGCTGAACCATTTCTTTCTTTATCTATCAATATAATCCAGACATGGTCTTATTTCAAGTTTCTCTCTAATGCTGGTATTCATTACCCTATCTCTTCTTGTGTTGTGAGTGACCTTGTGGAGACAGCGCATTTCACATGTAATGTTCTGTTCTAGTGCCCTGTTAATTGTCCATGATTGACACTGATAACATAAAGCTGGGATGAAGATGCTATTAATCATGTGCTGTTTTGCTGGAAGGGAGACATTGCACTAGGAAATTTTTGAAGGTCAAACGAAACTAAAACTAAAACCAAACTTAAAATGTTTAATTCTAATGTCAAATCAGTACTTTTTTTATGTAGCGGAAACATGGAGAACAATTTTAACAGTTACTAATAAACTACAAACATTCATTAACTGGTGCCTGCTGTTTTAGTTAATTCTTTCAAGACATCTTTACTATATTTGTAATTTGTCTATGGTATTCTAATAATTCTTCTGTAAAAATTACATTTCTGCTGCTTGCACAACATTTCTGCTGCTTGTATAACATTTCTGCTGCTTGCATAACATTTCTGCTGCTTGCACAACATTTATGTTGTTTGCACAACATTTCTATTGCTTGCAAAAGATTTCTGCTGCTTGCACAACATTTCTATTGCTTGCACAACATTTCTGCTGCTTGCACAACATTTCTATTGCTTGCACAACATTTCTGCTGCTTGCACAACATTTATGCTGCTTGCACAACATTTATGCTGCTTGCACAACATTTATGCTGCTTGCACAACATTTATATTGCTTGCACAACATTTATATTGCTTGCACAACATTTCTGCTGCTTGCACAACATTTCTGCTGCTTGCACAACATTTCTATTGCTTGCACAACATTTCTGCTGCTTGCACAACATTTCTATTGCTTGCACAACATTTCTGCTGCTTGCACAACATTTCTGCTGCTTGCACAACATTTATGCTGCTTGCACAACATTTATATTGCTTGCACAACATTTCTGCTGCTTGCACAACATTTATATTGCTTGCACAACATTTCTGCTGCTTGCACAACATTTCTGCTGCTTGCACAATGTTTTCTCCTAATCTGCTGTCTGCCTGACAGGGAAGAGCTGTAATTGCTGTCATCCCCACTGACACTTTCCGCTGCCAAAGAAAAATGCATTATTTTACTATTTATTTTTAATGTTTACTATTTATTACAGAAGACTCAGTTTACATCTTGAACATAGAAACAGGAATGCTTACTGCCTGCTAATGCCATTCATGCAGAAATGTAATGTGTGAAAGCTACCAGTTACTAGTCTGTGATGCTATTCTATAATGCTAGGTGTGCAGACATACTCTCAACATTGAAGCGATCCAAAAAAACACTTATAAATGAAAATTAATCATGCCTCTCTACTGCTGTCAATGAATCCTTCCTATAAATGTTATAGTTAATTAACTGTACGCTCTGTTGCTCCCAAATCTCAGACATTTTGTTTGTTAGCTGACTGGGCAAATCATTAATTTACATACAACATTTTTCATTGTCATTTCAGATCACTAATAAAGCTTCGCAGACTCCAGATACAAGCCAGAAGACTGCACAAGCAACAAGATTTGGATAAAAATGAGTAAGATTTGTTTAAATTATCGTATTTACTATTGAGACATGTTTGTGTTTCTCCTTTTTCTAATTAATAGCCGGTTCAGCTGACACACACAGACAACTTATGACAAACATTAAACAGAGATCAAGACACAAAGACGAATTATCACAAAAATTAGACAGAGGCTAAGACACAAGGACAACTTATCACAAATATTAGACAGCGGTCTCAAAGAGTCAGCTAGAGAAACTGGAGCGCATACTGAATGAAGCTATGCGGCTGATCCTGGGATGTACAAGAGACACCCCGATTGTGTGCATATGATACATCCTTGCATTGCCGACTATTGCAGTTAGACTAAAGGTGCTGCAGGCTAAGTCATATCTGCAGACAAGGAACACCCTCTTTTTACAGCTTTGGCTGCAGGTAAGGGTCAGAGGCTGAAAAGGGGAAAATCGTGGATGTTTCAAGCAGAAGACACAATAAGACAAGTATGCATGCTGGAGAACATTGGGTGAGGAGAGGAGTGGGTCAGAGTATCAGAGGGAAAGTGTGACCTGTGTAGGGTTATGACAACATTGGGCCGGGTGTGCAGAGAGTGGCCAGCGGGTGCCTCGGAGGTGGAAGTACAACAGTTGATTCACAACAATTCACGTCCAGGTGAACTGATTATCTATACAGATGGTTCAGTATTGAGAGCAAAGAGAAGTGCCTGGGGGTTCGTAGCAAAAGCCAATGGAAAATCTTTAATTCATAATTGTAACAAGACTCTGAAAGCATGCATAGAAAGGTGAAGACAGGGATGCTTCGAGCAAAGTGGCTAGCTTCACTGGGAAGGTCATGGGTAGTGAGAATATTTTGGATCTTTTCTCCAGGATATGCTGGCATGTTGGGTAATGAACAGGCAGACAGATTGGCTGGATCTGCACCACTGGGTCGTGAATTGATACATGACAAGGCAGATGTGGTCAAGGCCCTTTAAAAACAAGCAACAGAATCAGTAGAGAAACAAGATTATTATAGCCTGGAGAGAATGAGGCACTTGGGTGTAACCAGAGGGTCTGGCCGGCTCACTACACTCAGAGGAAAGGTAAGATGGACATATAACCAGATTGTGACCGGTACCATCAGTATTGGAGCTCTGCGCTGGCTGCTGAAGATGAGAACAGGGCATGCATGGGAATGCCCTGAGTCCTGTGATGTCTAACAGAGACCGAGACACAAAAACAACTTATTATAAACATTAGACAGAGACCAACACACAAAAACAACTTATAAACATTAGACAGAGACCAACACACAAAAACAACTTATAAACATCAGACAGAGACCAACACACAAAAACAACTTATAAACATTAGACAGAGACCAACACACAAAAACAACTTATAAACATTAGACAGAGACCAACACACAAAAACAACTTATAAACATTAGACAGAGACCAACACACAAAAACAACTTATAAACATTAGACAGAGACCAACACACAAAAACAACTTATAAACATTAGACAGAGACCAACACACAAAAACAACTTAAAAACATTAGACAGAGACCAACACACAAAAACAACTTATAAACATTAGACAGAGACCAACACACAAAAACAACTTATAAACATTAGACAGAGACCAACACACAAAAACAACTTATAAACATTAGACAGAGACCAACACACAAAAACAACTTATAAACATTAGACAGAGACCAACACACAAAAACAACTTATAAACATTAGACAGAGACCAACACACAAAAACAACTTATAAACATTAGACAGAGACCAACACACAAAAACAACTTATAAACATTAGACAGAGACCAACACACAAAAACAACTTATTATAAACATTAGACAGAGGCCAAGACACAAGAGACAACTTATCACAAGCATTAGACAAAGGCTAAGACACAGAGACAACTTAGCATAGGTATTAGACAGAGACCAAGACACAGAGACAACTTAGCATAGGTATTAGACAGAGACCAAGTCACAGAGACAACTTATCATAGGTATTAGACAGAGACCAAGACACAGAGACAACTTATCATAGGCATTAGACAGAGACCAAGTCACAGAGACAACTTATCATAGGCATTAGACAGAGACCAAGACACAGAGACAACTTATCATAGGCATTAGACAGAGACCAAGTCACAGAGACAACTTATCATAGGCATTAGACAGAGACCAAGTCACAGAGACAACTTATCACAAGCATTAGACAGAGACCAAGTCACAGAGACAACTTATCATAGGCATTAGACAGAGACCAAGACACAGAGACAACTTATCATAGGTATTAGACAGAGACCAAGTCACAGAGACAACTTATCATAGGTATTAGACAGAGACCAAGTCACAGAGACAACTTATCATAGGCATTAGACAGAGACCAAGACACAGAGACAACTTATCATAGGTATTAGACAGAGACCAAGTCACAGAGACAACTTATCATAGGCATTAGACAGAGACCAAGTCACAGAGACAACTTATCACAAGCATTAGACAGAGACCAAGTCACAGAGACAACTTATCATAGGTATTAGACAGACACCAAGACACAGAGACAACTTATCATAGGCATTAGACAGAGACCAAGTCACAGAGACAACTTATCATAGGCATTAGACAGAGACCAAGACACAGAGACAACTTATCATAGGTATTAGACAGAGACCAAGTCACAGAGACAACTTATCACAAGCATTAGACAGAGACCAAGACACAGAGACAACTTATCATAGGTATTAGACAGAGACCAAGACACAGAGACAACTTATCACAAGCATTAGACAGAGACCAAGTCACAGAGACAACTTATCATAGGCATTAGACAGAGACCAAGACACAGAGACAACTTATCATAGGCATTAGACATAAACCAAGTCACAGAGACAACTTATCATAGGCATTAGACAGAGACCAAGACACAGAGACAACTTATCACAAGCATTAGACAGAGACCAAGACACAGAGACAACTTATCATAGGTATTAGACAGAGACCAAGTCACAGAGACAACTTATCATAGGTATTAGACAGAGACCAAGTCACAGAGACAACTTATCATAGGTATTAGACAGAGACCAAGACACAGAGACAACTTATCATAGGTATTAGACAGAGACCAAGACACAGAAACATAGAATAGACCCACTGCCCTCCCTCCTCCCAAAAAGTTTGTCATGAACGTTGACTAATTTAGAGGTGTTCCTGTTGGAGTGAATCAGCCAGAAATTCAAGTGACCAACATTCTGCATATAATTCAGTGAAATGTGACTAAACAGCTTAACAAAATGGGGAAACAGAAAAACATGCATAAAACAACACAAATAATGTTTCGGGCGGAAATCCTTGTATTAGCTTGACTGCAGACACCCCCATATTTTCACATATAAATAAGCCAGATCTCTAAAAGATGTGAACAATGTCCAGAAGTGGATGAACAACCAGGAGTTTACAGCTTGTGAATATAAAGATTACGAAAAAGAGAGCTGTCATTCAAAATGTATTCATGATCTGTCTGCGGCAGTTGTAACATTAAATGTCAGAACGATCCAGAATTTCCTGGGAATTAAAATGTGGGGATACATTTGTCAGAAGGAATTCAGGGTCTGCTACTTCTGGTGTTCTCCAGTAACATTATTAGAGTGTTGGGGGGGGGGGGGGGGGGGGAGGGGGGTGTGGATGTCAGGATCTTCTGTCGGCCGTTACTTATATGTTACATACAGTGGAACCTTGCTTAACGAGCATAATTTGTTCCAGAACTATACTTGTTAAGCGAAGCACTCGTTATGCGAAACAATTTTTCTCATATAAATTAATGTAAAATACGATAATGCGTTCCATGTCGAAAAAAATACTCACAAAATGCTATGTATAACGTTTATTCAAAGAAAATTATATACATATTGTTAAGAAGAGTGAATCTTCTTCATCTTTTATTCAAACGCGGAACGAACCCACATGGAATGCGAACGCATTTGCAGAAAAAAAAATTCAAAATAATTATGATACATAGCTATTTTTTTTTTTTTACTAGAAAGATGTCCAGGTACATTTGATTTTGCCGGCGCTTCAAAATGTGGTGAAAATGCGACACAGCATTATCATTAAATAAACTTGCAACGCGAATAGCCACTTCCTTATTAGGGTGATGCTTCTCAATGTAAGATGCAATAGTTTGCCATGCTTTCAGCATTTCTCTTATTTCCCCAGAAGATTGTTGCTTTTCTGTTACCTCCTCCTCCTCCTCTGACAAACTTTTCCCCAAAACCTCTTGCTGTGAAACACAATGCAACTCCATAAGCTCTTGGGTGGTCAGCTCTTGGCTTTGCTCTTCCACGAGCTCTTCGATATCACCGTTTTCCATCTCCAATCCCATGATAGTGGCCAAAGACACAATCTCGTTGACTACAGGTTCCACAGGTACTGTCTCGAACCCCTCAAAGTCACAAATCGACAACGCTCTCCGGCCAAAGCTTCATCCAAGCAGAAGTTAGGGTTCTCTTGGTAACCCATTCCCCGCCTTGCTGATCATCTTGAGGCAGGCAACGACGTGGAAGTGGTTTTTCCAAAAATCTCTGAGAGTGAGGTTCGTCCCTTCAGTCACCTGAAAACAATGCTCGAAGAGTGCTTTAGTGTAGAGCTTTCTAAAGCTAGAAATAACTAGCTGGTCCATGGGCTGGAGTAACGGAGTAGTGTTGGGAGGCAGAAACTGGATCTTGATGAACTTACATTCTTCAGAGAGGTCATCTTGTAGGCCTGGAGGATTCATGTACACATATCACAATATAACACAAGTTCGAGAAAATATGTGATCACAAGTGACACTACGATGTTACTATAATGAGTGCTAAACACAAGACTGATGTAACATGCGCACAACCCGGGACTTCACCTCTCCTCGCCACTCGTTATGCGAAACGTCGCTCATTAAGCAAGTCATTTTTTTACAATTTGTTTTGCTCGTTATGCGAATTACTCATTATGAGAGGTGCTCGTTAAGCAAGGTTCTACTGTAATTTGATCTTCATTTCTCTATGGCTTTCTTTCATTCTTTCTTTTTTTTCTTGAGTTGTAAGTTATTACTATTAGGAAAAAAAAAATTTTTGTTGAGCGTGGTCTTTCCCTTGCTCTATGTTCAGTATATTTCTTCAGCATGGTTTTCTGCGGCAGTTGGTATCAGTAAATCCTTTTCAGATAACTAAACTATCTCATATCTTTATGATTAATTTATGACTGTCATTAGGCTTAAACCCAGGGAATTGCTTTGCTAAGCAAACACATTAACCTCTGTACCACCGTGTATGAACTTTGTCATTCATCGTCATAGCCCCACCACTTGAGACATATCATAATACGTTTGATTTTTTGTTATTTTCACACACAGATCTGACTCAGAGTCACCACAAAATATTGAGATCCGAGGAAATCTAAAGAAACTGTCAGCAGAACAGAAAGACCTCCTACTGTTGTTGGTTCAATATGGCGCAGATTTCACCAATGCTGTTTCCTGGTTGCCTCCTGGCATTCTTTGGGCACAGAAGCTTCGCCCCTCGACAAATGCAGTTATTGGAATAGTTGCAACGTTGATCATGTTCTACCGCAACTGGCCTTCCAGGGCAGCAACATAATGTTGGCCCCAAGGTTGTCTTTGATCACCTGATTCTGGGTTGGATGTTGATTTGGATTTGTTGCTAAGCTCGGGTTGTTGAGCTTCTTCAAGTCTGGATCCAGTAAGACATGTCACATGATTAAAGGTGGGACAGTTGACTTCATTGCACCAGGTTTCATCTCACAGGTTCTGTCTCTATACACGGAGCAGCAGGTCACTGAGGGTATTGCACAAAGCACAAACTCCATAACTCTAGTGTTGACCCCTAAAAATCTCATATTTTTAAAAAACTGCTGACATGAATAAAACAGAACTCTGAACATGAGAATGAAAATACTAGACAAGAAAGAAAAATGAAGACAGAGATGTATATATGGAAACAGCTAAGCAACAAATCATAATAATATAATCAACGCCAAGTTCATAAAAATATTAGATGCCAAAGGATTGAAGAGTCATGATCACCGATGCCTGCTGTAGACTGGCCATGTGAACAACAACATTTGTGACATTACTAGAGAGCAATGATAATCAGAATGTGTTTTAATCATAAACTTTTATTATGTTCACTTTTTTTATTCTACACACTATGTGTGTATCTGTGTATTGCACACATAACAGAATGATTTGCGAATGTTTGATAAATACGACAGTCCCTGTTGAATAGACGTAATACAAGATCTCATTATTAGTGAACAAATGAGTTGAGTACAGCAGTGTATGTTCATTATTGGTTTATTATTGTGTGAAGTACATGGAATATTACGTGTGATTTATCTATTGTTTGAGCATAATACCACACTTTTATCATCGTCATCATGCATATTAAGTAAATTTATATTATCATCATCATCAAGTGCCTTACAGACTGGGATGGATGTTTCTGTTTTTGTACATCTTACATTCTCCAGCAACGCGAAACAGTTTGTTTGCTGACACATTCTCACGTCAGGTCAGAACATACAAGCCATCAATAACTTTCTCTCTTGTCATCCTCATTTCTTTTTCATAAATTTTTCTGGTTATCATTTATTCCAGTTTTTTCCTTCTCATATTGTAAATGCAAAATTTCGACTGCCTCCTTCTGGTATTTTTATGTAAGCTTCTTCATGTTTTAGCCTCTGTCAAAATGCTGGATGACTCAAACAGGCAATTCATGGAATTTTAGTTAATGGAATTGTCAGCTTTCTTGTATAGAAGCACGTCTGTGAAGCTATAGTGTCAGTGTGGTACTGGCCAGATAGTCAAGACACTAACAGATGTGTCACTAACAGATGTGGCACTAACAAGCACATTGTAGGAAGTGACTAATTATTGGTGTTTCATTCAAAGTCAGACTAGACATGTCTGAGAGGCAAGAAACCAATAGTCTGCACACGAATAAGCCAGATCTATAAAATGGGTGTGCACGCAAAACTCAAGTTCTGAATCAAGACCAGAGTCCTGAAGTGAATGAACAACTACAACTTTCTGCCAGTGTGTACCGCCAATGAATGCTAAAATAATAAGAAGAGTATCAAACCATTCAGAAAACAGTATGATAAGACATTCTCTGTAAGTTTGCTAACCATTTATTTGCTGTCTTTGTATGTAATTTAGAATCAGTTCTGTGCCGACCTTTTCTCCTGTGTCTCAATTTCTGATTTATCTTTTCTGGTCATTCCTGCCGCCCTTCTCAGACATCTCATTTCTTTTGTGTAGTTACTTGTTTACTTGTGAAACGATCTGCCGGCTTATGTCAAGTCAAATCAAGTCAAGGGAAGTCAAGTCAAGTCAAGTGAAGGGAAGTCAAGTCAAGTCAAATGAAGGGAAGTCAAGTCAAGGGAAGTCAAGTCAAGTGAAGGGAAGTCAAGTCAAGTGAAGGGAAGTCAACTCAAGTCAAGTGAAGGGAATTCAAGTCAAGTGAAGGGAAGTCAAGTCAAGTGAAGGGAATTCAAGTCAAGTGAAGGGAAGAGTCAACACAATTCAAGCCAGTGATGAATCAGTTATATGGTAAATGTGTACAGACCAGTGGTCATTCACTGGCTGATCTCACCATACCAGTGGCCGTTACTTTCCAGAAAGTTACCTGGCTCCCATTTTAAACTGGGTTGAGCTAGTAGCCAAAGTGAATTTAGAAATAAACAATCTTCAATGATGCAGATTTGAACCCTAGACCTCCAGGCCAGCAAGTGAATGAATGTCAAGTTATTACACCACAGCAGCTGCTGTGATCACAAGTAGACGGGTTCATACTGCAGTCAGAATCTGCTGCTTTCAGTACACTGTGTTAAAAATCCTCCCCTCTCTGTTTGGCATTTCTGAACCCTGGTTATAACCTCAAGAGATTAAGTCTGTGATAGGGCTCTGTAAGACACTGTGTGATGCATAGGGCTGTATTCAGGCACTGTGTGATGCATAGGGCTGTATTCAGGCACTGTGTGATGCATGGGGCTGTATTCAGACACTGTGTGATGCATGGGGCTGTATTCAGGCACTGTGTGATGCATGGGGCTGTATTCAGGCACTGTGTGATGCATGGGGCTGTATTCAGGCACTGTGTGATGCATGGGGCTGTATTCAGGCACTGTGTGATGCATGGGGCTGTATTCAGGCACTGTGTGATGCATGCATGGGGCTGTATTCAGGCACTGTGGGGGCTCAAGTAGAATTGTTATTTGTGCCAGGTGTACCCACACTTCCATGAACATGTAAACGCTGATGACCTTGTTCCAGTTCTTAAACAATGTTTATTTAATAAACTCTTGATAATTGCAAAGTTAGTATGTTTATTTAAGAACTCATGATAATTGCAAAGTTAGTATGGCTTCCACTACTGAGCAGCCACAGATTGTATTCGTATGGTTCATAAGCACACTAATCTCAGGTAGTCATTGGCTAAATACATCAACATTACGCTGGTATAGCTGATCACAAACTCATCCTCGCAATATGAACAAAGTCACGAGAGGCTAGCTGATGCCTCTATAGCAATAATTCCGTATCCTCCTAACTACTACACTTAACTTTATAATTCAGCTTTATACCACAGAAACACTTATCACCAGTATGAATAACCACTACTGTTCTGTTCACAGTTTTAAATCCAGTCCATTCCAAGCGAAAAACAATTCCCACCTTTTAAAAGGGCCCCAAACAAACACATCCGTTCACTGGACTGTCCAACTACTAACTGCCGTGTGTCACTCTACCTGTTTGTTCAGTTCCCGTGTAACCTCCCCACTCAGTTACCTGTTTCGCCCTGCGGGTCTACACACAAGCCGTCTGACCAGTAATTGACCTGTCTGCTGTTATGAGTCAGTCTAGTCGTTGTTTGTCTTTATCTCATAGTGTGTGGTAAAGTTGACTCATGACAGTTTCACCCCCGCTTTTCAAAATGATACTATGTATCATTTCTGTTCATGGTTCGTTATTGTACCCTGTGTTATGTTCTTTTGGTGCTACCCGTGTGTAAATCTCTAGATAGATTGTCTGGTCACCTTGCATGTATCATGTCATTACCATTTTCTATCTATACTAGTATAAATTCTGGATTTATGAAGGTCCCAGCCAATTTATGATGCTAACCCATGCTATTCCTTGTACCGCATGCCATCATTTGGTTGAAGGTTGTGTTCTTAATCGCTCGTGTCTTTTGCCCCTTTATCCAGGCTTATTACCCTGCCTACTTTTGGTTTGCCGTATGTACTAAGTATGTCTTTACTCTTAGGCCGTTACAGCCCCATCATGATCACATGATAATTGATAATACCTCTCACATAATCAGCAGTGACATAAGATGTGATGCATATGAACCGAGTATTCTCTAATGTTTGCTAATGACACAAGTCAGTAAATGGGGAGGGAATAGCTAGTATAGCTAGGACATTTGAGGCTAAGGAGTTAGAATTGGGGAAAATACAAAAGGTGGGGGGGGGGGGGGGGGGTTAACTCCTGCAACAGAGGGGTTTGTAGACAAAAGAATATTCATGAATTAATTACTGTAAGTATTATCAAAAGCCTTTCATTCATATTGCATGTATTCAACAGACAGAGTTTCATCCCCCCCTTTTTTTTTCTTATTAAAAAAAAAAAAAATTGTTTTTCTTTTTTTTTCATGTCTAGCATCTGTTTAAAGACGTGACAGGATGTCAGCCAGGGCATTATTTATGCCACTGATGTGGACTAATTCAAAGCTGTAGTTCTGCAAAAGTAGACTCCATCTGTAAATACGATGATTCTTCGGTGTTCCTTCTTTAAAGACTGTCAGTGGTTTGTTGTCTGTCTGTACTATAAACTTCCTGCCAAGCAAATATTTTGCAAATTTCGTAACCCCCACCACAAGAGAAAGTGCTTCAAGTTCTACTGTGGCGTAACGTTTCTCTGCTTCTGACAGCTTCCGACTAGAATAAAGTACTGGGTGGAGAATGTTCTCATGTTCCTGTAATAAGATACATGATATGGAATACCCACTTGCATCGCACTGTAAGATGAAGGGTTTTTCGAGGTCAGGTAACTTTAAGATTGGTGATTTCGAGAAAGCTGTTTTGATATTGGTCAGAATTTGTTCCAGCTGCGGGGTCCATGCTATCTTTGTAGGCAATCCCTTCTTAACGAGTGAAGATAATGCTGCTGTCATGCCAGCAAAGTCAGGTAGAAATTTATTGTAATAGTTTATCAGTCCCAGCATTGATCGAACTTGCTTTTTTGTTGTTGGGGCTTTAATATCCAGTATTTTTGAAATAATTTTGTCATCTGTTAGTAAGAATCCATTTCCGATCTTGTGACCCAGGAAATCAATTTGTGTGAACCCGATTTCTACTTTACTGGGTTTTACTTTCAAGCCGAATTCTCTTAATCTCTTAAATACCTGGGTTAAGGAAGAAATGTGGTCCTGCATATTTGCATTGTGAATACAAATATCGTCCATATATGTGGCAACATTCCTAATGTCCTTAAGTACAATGCGCATCATACGAACGAATGTTGCAGGCGAATTTTGTAATCCAAAAGGCATTTTGCACCATTCGAACAATCCCG